ATCAGTCTTCGTTGCAAGACGGTTAAATCTCTGGTGTTGCGTTTGCATGCAAGTGGCTGGCGCGTCCTTAGCCTACGTCTAATTGTGTCCGGCGCGGCGTTAGCCTACGCCTAGGCGTGCTAATACCCCCCAGGTGGGTGACACTTTGTTAGCGAATGCACCGACCCTGCGCCGCCCGGCTAATGCATGCCCCCTGCCTGTGTCTGGCACCCTGTTTGTTGGTCTAGCGAGTTTGAATCAAAGATATCCAGTTCAAACTCGCTTAAATACAGCGTTCTGGATAGCTTCTCGGCCGTGGAACACTCCTAAACAGAATAGTTAAGCAGCGCACCGAATATACTTTGAAGGACGTCGTAACAAAAACGTAGTATTAGAAGGGTTTGGTAGATTTGAATAATACAATTGACCCAATTGTGAAAAATTCGCGGCCTCGGTGGTAGGGTAGGCTTTGGCGCAGCCAACGCTCTGCCATTGAGCTACGAGGCTCACTGTGCGCCCTGAATTTAATCATACTTGGGTTGGTTTACCCGCCCAACTTACTGCTCGTATGGAATGCACCATTGCGGAATCCAGCATAATGGTATTGCAGACTATACTACAGTTAAAACCTAAATATGTCCAACAACACAAGATAGAATTGGGTGGTCAGGGGCAAATGATCCATGCGGACAGGTATGTGGTTCCGACGCGTTTTCTAGACTACCGGCGAGGGAAGGCAGCGTTGTGGACAACTGCTCTGAAGCTTCCAGCTACACAGAAGCAATTAATGTACAAATCAAAAAAGATCCCTTTGGAGCGGCATGTGGCTTCGTCGGCGAGTGGGGTGCAGTTCTGTGGGAAACTGTTAAAATAGGAGTGTGTTGACGACAGAGAGGATCATACCGGCGATCGAGAGTGGAAGGGATGGAAACAGCAGCAGTAAGGGAGGGGATATCGGCCATTCGTTGGACCGATCGCTAACAAAATTTTCACGTCCTATACTGCCTTGGGGTTCATGCTTTAGCTCCGCCAGCAACCACGCAGTGACATATAGTGTAACATTTCCGACAAAGACAAGGGAGACTGGAATGGTCATTTCTGGCTAATTAGCCATCATCAGTCAGTCATACTCGACCTCAAGTGGTGCACCACCCGAGGGCTTGAACCCACGACCATTTGATCAGAAGCCTAACGCCCCAACCCTTGAGCCACGGGCTCCATGTCTTCCTGATTTAGATCGGGAGATATTGACATTTGTTGCTGACAGCCCACCGACCCCTAACAGAGCGAATGCGCTCCTCTTTGTTTTCCTGAAAAAAAAATAGCCTTTCACAAAAAATAACTACTTATGCAATGGAAAGGTTTTGGAAGACTTTCGGTTTCCCCAAAACTATGCATTAATGTAGTCAAATGGTGGTACGCTACGTCTCCAGTGAATTTCAATCGTGAAGAAAGTGTGGATGTTGGTTTTAAGGGAGCTGCGCATAGCTTATGAATATCAGAAGTAGCAAATAATTTACTTAGGAAAAATACTAATGCTAATGAGAAAACACCATCTGAGGCTCAAAACGGCGGAAAATGGGTGTAGGCCATGCCATCGACTTTATGAGAAACACAAAAATATACAGATACACAGACCTAAAGCATCTCGTGATTGCAAACTTTTTTTAAACCGAAACCTACACTTTCTTGGAATCAGGGATTCAAAAAACAGGAAAGGATACAAAATTTTTTATTGTTATTTATTTTTTTTTGAAAGAATATACTTGGATTCCTAAGGGTAGCAAAATTCCAGTACATTACTTTATCGTACTTAAAGTGCAGTTTTTCCGAGTGTACTTTTTGCAGACAGCCAAAAAGGCCCCCATGACTAAAATGCATGACCAAAATGGGTTGTGATTACCATGCGTGATAGTTAATATTACAAGCGCACTTGGGTAATCCTTTACCTTCGGTCAATATTTTGTTGGATACTCCACCTTCTGGCCCTTTCTGATGATGTAAGATATTGTCCATCTGACTCATTTTAGGAACCGTGGGACAGCCGCGCTTGCGCGTTAAAAGTTAATTATTTCAGCTGCATCCTTTCTGCCGAAGAAAAATGCACTTAGTCCCATCTTTTTTTAACTGATTGTCCTCTTAGGTGGATTCTGGTGTGTCAACTCCGACCTCCACCTGGAACATACGATTCGGTCACATTCTACCGCTCCAATCTCCTGAGTTCGCCGCGGGTCAAGAGACCACCTTTGAGGTGGATTTGCGGGGCAGTGGGGAACCAGTGGCGTCAACAGCCAAGCACTCCATCTTCCGTCGTCGCACAAATCCCGCAGCCGGAGACATCGACCCCGCTGATATCGTAAGCCCTGTGCCTGACCTCAAGGATCCCAGCGGTGATAGCGAAGTGGTCACCGAAGCTGACACCATCTGCCCTGATGCCGCTCGCTGTCTGAGCGAGCTGACACCGTTTGGAGCAAAGTTTCGTCTTTCCTGTACAATCAGACCCTCAACAGCCGAAGAACAGGTAAGGAATCGTAGTGCTACCGTCGATAACACGTATAGGGTGGTCTGAGTCAGTATAATAATTATAACTAACTACTTATTTTTGAAAGTAGGAATGGGGTCTGCGCATGACCATGACCTTGTTATCATCAT